TCTAATGTTGTCGAATTTAGAGGGGTTAAAGGGTCGTTTTCGAGAATGGCTAATTCCATTTATCTGTTATGGTCTGTTGTTCTTTGACGATTGGTAGTGGGTATGGAATTAAGTGAATGTTTAAGTAGTATATGTCAACCATTCGGGCTACGCCTTGACAAATACTGTGACACGTTCGCTACCAAGAGTCACATATGTCTGATTGATGATAAATCGTGTGATCTACATATAATACACCATAGAAAATGCACAGTTTGAGTATTTAATGAATATTAATTGTGTATAAGTGCTAGCTTCCATCGTAATATGTAAAATTGGTAGAAATATAGATATTACGAATGGAGATCAAAATAATTGGAAGGGTAGAGGACCAAGCTTCAACAGAACCATGGTAACGAACGTGTTAAGCGATGAAGTCTGGTGTTTAAATCTAATCTCGACGAACTGCACTAATTTCCATTCGCTGTTCAATTCAAAAGTAATATTTTCCAGGAAAGAATTCAAATCGTTTCTGAAATTCCCCTCAAAATTACCCTTAAATTACTCTGGTAATGTAACTTACCAAAAATTCTACAAATTTTCAATTAACACGAGAAGAATCAGAGCTGTTCGACACTCGAGTAATCGCTTGATTAAACCTGCAACATTTCACGTTACACTCTCTGCCGTATCGTTTCTACCTCGTTGATTATTTTTGGCCTAGATAGTTCGAAGAAGGCCACGCGTGATCCTGTATATAGCCAGGCAAGGAGGGAAGACGGATTGGAAAAGCACTTGTGCTTTGAGTTCGTTTATTCGAAGATGAGACCGAGTCTCGAGTCTTCGGCAAACGTTTCGCGGTACGCGCGCGCCTCTGTTTGAAATCTCGAGATCGAGGAACTCTTCGGATGCATCGAAATGAAGGCACCACCGTACCGCCTGGCCGAGTGAAACTTTCGCCAAGATAAATTTAGAGCTACCGCGTTGAAAACAATAGCGAACCACCCGCCGCCGCAACGGAACTTCGATCGAGATTCAAACCGTGTCCTCGATCCGGTTCCTTCTATTTCCACCTATGAGAGAGGGAGTAAATTAATCAGCGATTTCATTCGCTCGGTTAATTACATCTTCTACAGAACGATTCGTTTCATCCACTCTTACTTACTGTCTTACCGTTCCGTTCGAATATCGAAATTTTCATCCCTCGGGAACGTCGGACCGTGAAATTTACGCGTGCGAGAAATTATTCAGACACAATATCGTACGATTAATTAGATTTCGCAGCGCGGAATGATTCTCTTTATGCACTAGGAGCATCGATATTTCACCGTCCGTTTAAAAAGTATCAAGTGTCTTTAATTTCTGTTTTTCCCCGGTTGTAAAACAGAAATTAAGAGAAGATCACCGGCGTGGTTTCCAATTACCGCAGGGCCGAGCGAGCGATATATCCGGAACGCGAGAGCATCCACGAGCGAGTTTTTCATCCGTAATTTCAATTCGAATTTTCCCCGGGCCGTGCATCACGCGGAATTGATATAATATCCTGTAAACGGGAAAAATACCGGGCGTGGTGAACGAGCGTGGAACTCATTTGGCCGCCGCCGCGTCGTATTTTCTTTCGATTTGCACGCGTGGATAAGCGTGATTCAAATACATCGTTGTCACACATTCTCTCTCTCTCTCTCTCGATATATGTATACACGCGCGTGTGGAAAATCAAAATACGTCTAGCAACATCGTGGTCGTTTTCTCTCGAACCCGCTTGTCAAACGCGTATCCACGTCTCGAGGTTTACCGTTTTTCTCGAACAGCACAGCCGAAGCAGAAAGTGGTCTTTCGTTTACATTTCCCGGATAGATCGATCTTGACCCTTCCCCTTTATTTTTCTCCCAATCCCTTCTTATCGCTTCCCGCAGCGGCGAAAATCCCTTTCTTTCCTCCTCCTCCTCGCCGCTGTTCAACGGAGTTTCTGATAAAATTCGCGGAGGGTTAAACGCCATCGATTGTAACAGGGTGGAACGTATGCAATATCGAGGAGAATGAAATATGCGGTGAATTTATCGTGGAAACGGCTCGAGGAGGAAGGTAAATCGCGAGGAGATACAAAAATTGAGCTCGCAGCGTCGTACTTCTTTGCTTAGATAGACTGTTAGGGTTGCGGATTTATGTTAGGGACGCTCCATTTATGATACTTTTCGGTGACTCTTCTTCGCGGGAACCACTGTTCGTTCGATTTTCTTTCTTACCACGTGCGTAAGCTAGGCAAATGTTTGGAGGATGGAGAAATGTTTCCTAGCGTCCATTTCTAAGCACAGAATGGCGATTGACGAGACTTAAAGACACGAGGTGACAGGCACTTGAGTACCGTTAGGTTCGCTCGCCCCTTGGGTCTGTCTTCATCACTGTGACACCATGCTGCCGCTCTGTCAGCTTGGAAATTGTATGGTGGACGCTGTGCTTGAGGTTCGTGGAGGTCTGACCGGGGGATAAGAAACTCGTATTTCGATTTTGGAGTAAAATAAGATCGCTCTGTTGTTTAACGAGCTGTCGTTCAGTTCGCCAGCTTTCACATATAAAACATGCCTGAAATGTAGATTTACTACTTTAATTGTGGAAATTGCAGAATATCACGAGAGATTTCAGAAGAAACACATTGCATAGGCGATACTTTATTGACGTTCTCTAATTAAGGCGGGAGATTTAAAATCCAACATACTTTAATAAACTACAATAGTATCAATCTATCACCAATTTATCCACCTTCGTCATCAATCAGATAAAAAGATCTAGCGTCGAAGTTTTTCTTATCCATTCCCCAAAAATTACACTTCTTTTTTTATTAATGCTGTCTGTCGTGTCCTCAACACGAACCACGCGACCGATCACCCCCACCGTTGACTTGCATCGCTTCTATCTACCTGCCAATAAGGGTTCGCGAAAGAGGCCTTTTTCTAGGAAAGGCGTTGATTGGCCCTTTTTCCGAATTAGCAGCTACGAAAACATGTATAAAGGTAGCTTTCGCAAGCCCGAAACCTGAATATGTACGGAGAGAAGCAGAGCGTGTACGGAGTGTACATATTAAAAAACCGAACAACGTAGTTTAACCTAAAACTAAACAACCAATAGGGAAACATCCATCGTGATATCTTCCAACCGAGAAATAAGATCACGGTACCAAACACTGTCAAACCCTTAATATTCTGTACACACAAATTTGTACAAAAAATCTATATAAACGTGCAAAGTGTGTTTCTCGGGAAATTAGAAGGTAGTTTCCAACGTTACACCGGTTCCAAACGTTGCACCAATAACGTGTCAGATACTGTAACGAGGAAATTCCCGACACGTTCGTGAACAACACGTGAACAACAAAGTGACGAGCGAGAACGGTTGTGCACGGGTCTCGGCAGAAACAAACAGCGTGGAACGGGGACGACAGCGGCAATAGAGCATATTTGATAAAGAGTGTACGGCGTGGGTTAGGCCAGGTCTAGGAAAAGTGGCGCGGGATGTTAAACACACCTGTGCATCGAAAGTTCGTCATGAATAATTCCGTTTGGCTCGTTTAACGCGGTCGCAGTGTAAGCGCACAGTACCGACGGAACTTCCATCAGCTCCCGCTGAACGATAATTGACTTTGCGTCTCACCGGCTCTATTTATTTGCTCGCCTTCCCAGCCTCTCCAGCTCTCCCCTCCCCGCCCCACCTCGAGCTTCCTATGCCAGCTTCCTGGCCGAGAGATCGAACGAGCGTTAAACGGTACGACGAGGGGTGGCTAGAACGCGACAAAGACGGCTAGAGGAAACAAGGAGCCGGGGCGAGAAGTTTAAATTGCGACCAGGGATCGAGTTAAGGCTTAATAGCTAATTGATCCAGAAATTAAATCTTGGCCTCGTTTGCTCGTCGAGTAACTCGTTGGTACACCGGTTATCGCGAGATTTTCTGCGAGATACTTATCTTTTTTTAAGCTCAACTGTCGGGAATTTAGCGTTACTTGGGACAATTGAAAATTTGTCAGAGCGAGGTATAATGGGAGTTCTGAAATTTTTTGGTTATCGGAGAGTTTTGGTTGTTAGAGGAATTTCTATAGTACGTTGAATCGTTCTATTATGTGTTAGGTCGCCCCATAAGTTCGTGCGGAAAGTGAAAAAAAATTTTAACGAAAATCCGAGGAAATGGTCGTACCGAAAAAGAGAGAAAATAGGAAACTGTTGCGGAATGAGAAGACGCTTAGGTTTTTTTTTATCAGATTTAAAGATTTGTTGGAAATATCGATGGAAATTATAATTTCGTACACAATTGTTTTGAAAAAATGTGCTCCTTTATTCTGTGCTAATAATTGATCAGAAGCGAATTAGAGTTCACGTTCCCGAAGCAGAAATCGAAGCATCGTTCGTCAAATTTAGCCGTCTCTGACTTCCGTCTCTTCTCACAGTTAAAAAAATCCCTTTGTGGAAAGAAATTCTTGTCAGACGAAGAAATGATACAATATGATACAAAAATGATACGAACCGGAGTTTCGTAATGCTACAATATCTTTGAAACATCTTTATCCCCTGTGTATCGACGTTAAAGCGAATTATGTCGAAAAATAAAAATAATTTTTGAAATTACCCATGTATTTCGTGAAATGAACTTTTGTCAGAATGTAACTGGTTCGCTGAATCGTGGTATATTAAATTTTACACGATTTCGAACTTGTAATTGCGTGAATTTTGAAAGCGAATATTTAAGGGATCAGTAGATAAGGACCGTCACTGGTCAGACAACCCGTGAACACCGCTAAATAATGAATTTCGGAGAATTTAATTATCGTGTGCATGTTTAATCTGTTACCGAGATGACAGAAGGAGTCGTATTGATTATTTTAACATAACACACCCTGTGTAATGCAATTTATCGTTTAATTTTACAATAGATTTAACTTTTTAAAAGAGAAGCGCAGAGTTTACCGGGTCTACGTATCGTTTTCTCGTCTAAAGGGCATGTAGAGATGTTTTTAGATCGTGTGGTTATTGCAGGGTGGTCCAGACTTCCCGGTGAACCAGACTCTGTCGAACATTTATGGCCGCAAGTCGGCCAGTCCAGAAGCTCCGGACCACGTAGACGAAACTCAGGTTCGTAAGTCTGTAAATAATGTCGTGTGAGAATTAATTCTGGTCTCTGTCGTCTTTAAATGTTTCCACCAAGTCACGCTAACTCGAGAATCAACTTAATCCCACCAACGATATTCTGCACAAATTTTAACTTCAAAATTATTAAAAAAAAAAGAAGAAATTATACATACACCTGACTAAAGATAACAATATAATCTTTCAAATTTGGCAATATATAATTGGGTCGATCAAATTGATCCATCATTTACAAACCTCGGTTGGCAATAGCGAGATCTGTCAGGTCCCTGCAAACCATCGTTGTAAACGTGAAGCTTCCTACTTTACCGACGCGTTTCTCCCTTATAATCCCCATGTAACCCGAGCGTGGAATACTTGTCGGTAATTTAGCAATCACCGATATTCCATTATCAACCCACGTCACGACATTCTTCTCCCATCTGAATTTATATTAAAGACTACGGTGTTAACAAAGGGATCGTTAATAGAAGTGCTCCTCTTACATTAAATGGGGTCTTTCAACCCACGTTATTACACGCTTCTCCCGTTCACTACAGTAAAACGACTCTCCTCTCTCTCTCTCTTCGAGACACAGCAAGAACAGAAATTAATCTGTTTTACATCAAGGACAGACTATATAATTTTCCATGCAGCGACTTTCCGCCCCGTCCCTTTTCGTTTTCTCATTTCCGTGACGAACGGAGCGGAAAAAAGGAGAGATGCATTATCCTTGCCTCGAGATACAACTCGCCGCGCTGCCCTGTCGTCTGTCTGCTTATTCCTCCGCGAAAGCCACGGCGTGTCCTGGGGGAGACACGCTGCACAAAATCCATTGTGCGGCGTTTTCGAATTCATTTCGAGCAGAGTTGGATTGTACGAAGAACGCGCGAGTAATACGTTTCGGATTGATTCGCGAGGGATAGAATACATACACGGGAAGAAGGATAATTCGATTTAGTTTTTTTAGTTGTTTCCCCAATTCACTGTCGTAATTGAAACCTCGCGTTGAATTTTACACGGCATTTCGCCGATTAACGATGGACATCGCGTCACAAAGTCGATGATTGCACGTAAAACCGCGGGAGAGACACGCCTGCGGCGAGACAATTTGTAAATTATACGAGAAATCAGCGTGACTGCATTATCAATGCCGTTTCGCGCCGACTCTCGCGTTTGCAAATGAAGTGGAGAAACTGCTCGACCCAGCCGTGTATAATATATTCCATTTGATTTAATCGACCTGATTAGCTTGATAAAATGCAATCGCGCGATCGTTGGTTATTTAATCCGTTTCCGGGAGCGCTAGTTTTCACCGTGACCATTGCTTCGACAGATTTCACAAATTTTCGTTAAATAGTCGATTCCCCTGGGTATAACACAGTTATACTCGTTTCGTTTTTTCACTCGACATTTGTTTTTTCGTCGATTTTTCCCCTCGTACTTTTAAACTGTTCCGGCGATTAGAAAAAACTCTACCGATCCTAATTATAACTTCTTCTATAATTCTGTGAACTTTGAAAGCTCGCATCGAAAGCTCGCGCTTTAAACGGCTTAAACTTGGAACTTATACGGGGTGGACCGATAACAATTACCACTTTGATAATATCTCTGGATCGACGAAAGTAGAGGAAAAAGAAATTTTCTAATAAAAATTGATCGATATTAAAGAAGTCATTCTTTTTCATTTATTTGTTACTAAGTACCATAAGACGAACGCAGAGATCTATTATGCAAAGTCTGTCAAGATCACAGGAGCGTTTCGATAAATTCTGGCGTCATTTGCATATTTGGATCAATTGTATGTTGCCAATTACGTAAGTTTATTAGCAAAAACAGAGATGATCTTGAAATCTCTTCAGCAACTCCACAAAAAAAAGAAACCTTACAACCATAGGATGGTCCTTTTCATACCAAACACCTTTCATTCATAAAAATATCATTAAAACCACATGGTCCCTCCTATAACAGACAACTTTCACTGAAAAAGTTGTGATAATTCTCATCAACTCACTGTGCAGAATAAACACCTCTAGAACGATCAATTGGACGAATTTGTCCGGAACCGGGGCCTCTGTCAAGAATAATTGTACCTTTCGCTCGGTTGAAACGTTCCACTCGAAATTGCACTCGAGCAAGGCCGTTAATGAAATAATAGCGACGTTTCGGGCTGCGTGGATTATAAATAACCGTCGATATAACGCCGTGCTCACGTTCAGCCGCTTCTCAACCACTCTCCCCCTCTGTCTCACCGCGCGAACTTTAATTAAGCGGCTGCTTAATCAGGCCGGTGCGTAAATTTCCCGAGAAATTTCCACGCGAAGACAATCTCCGTCTAGCATCGATCTCCCGTTCCGCGTCACGTCTCCATCGTCCGTCTAGAATATTTACAACGTCGAGGATCCCCCACCGTCGATCAATCGCGAAACCATATCGAACGCGAGCCTCGCGATACGAAGGAACACGAGGCTCTACTCTACGAGTTGACGAGACTCCCGTGAATCGTTCACGCGGAAAACGTGATTAATGGTTGGACTTGATCACGCTCGTTCGTATACGCGTGTTTTCACTTGGAACACACAGCAGACCGGTGGAAAAGAAGCGTGTCGGAATTAGACCGGAGTGCGAAGAACGTCTGCCGACCATCAACGTCGAACAAGTTCCTCACGCCAGTACCAACGCTGACGTCCATCCCTTCCGATATTCCACTTCCACGCGCGTTTTTTACAACCTCGCGCCTGTGTCGTAATTTATCGCGAGTGAGTATCGCGGATAAGTTGATTTTATCGTAAACTCGTGGATAGAGGTGCCGGTGAATGGAAGTGTCGAAGAGGTTCGGTTGAATCACTTTGTTGTTTCGTTCTGTGAATTACACGCTGTTCCAAATGTGAGAGATACTTGAGGAGAAGAGTAGATCTAGAGAAAGATGTAGATGAGAAAGTACGCGGATGGTAGTATCGAGAGGGAAAAGGAGAGGAATTATTAATTGACGCGAATAGCCGACCTCGGCCAGACTCTTCTGTTTTTCTTGGAACACTGGCGTGGAATCGGTTGTTTCAGGAGCCTCGAGATAAAACGAGCACGCGTGAAATAGTCCGGGAAAACTGCTGGCTAAGGAAAATAAGCCTGCGTCGAATCTGTTCGAACGGAATCTACTTGGAACGAAAAATCGTGGTGAAGAAAAGAATCTTTTGTGCGTTCTTGGTCAAAGATTGCGTGTAATTACGCGTGACGCGTGCATGTATTTTACGCCAGCGGCACGTGATTCTCTTGTAAACAATTTCACGTCGTTGTTTGATATTCTTGGAAATGCATAAACGTTTTAGTCACTTTGAAGTTCTCGTTCTTCCGAGCCAGTGGCACGTGCACCGCCAGTCTCTCCCCACATTAAACGAGGGAAGCCAAACATTGTCTTCGCTCGAACAACGATGAAAATAACCGGGAACAAACGATTTTTGCCTCGAATCGGTGAAGATTTCTCCCGAGCTTTCTTTTCTTTCTTATTAACGTTCCGAGCTTTGACACGCGTCGGGCACGCGAAGGACCAGCCGCCGTCTTTAAATTTCATTTTTCACTTGGCTCAACTTCTTTGTCTGCCGAGCGTTGAATCGTTGAAGAAATTGCCAAAAAAAAATTTCGCGTTATCTATCTCTCGACGCTTCTATCCAGAGTTTCTCTCATGGAACCTTCGTATCTTTCACGTTGGACTGCTTGGTTTTTTCGCGGTTAGCTCAATTGCCTGTACTCGCGCGACTTTCTTCGTCGCCAAGTGTCTCTAAGGTTAATTAAGCGCCGATATTTGTTGAACGACCAAGAGGAACTTTTTGATTTTTGATTAAATTTGTATTGTGTGGATTTGGAATGAAAGGATTGAACGAAGGAGCAGGAACCGAACGTTTGCCGCGAGGACTCCACGTTTCGGAGGTATTTTTTGATTTTTGATTAAAATCATTATAGCGCAGATTTGGAACGAGAGGTCCAAGTTTCGGTCGGAGAAAGGAGGTTATAGCTGTTTCATCTGAAAGGATTGAATAAAGGAGCACGGACCGAATGTTTGCCGAATGGAGAACGGTGACTGGAAGAAATTGGACGTTCGCAGCAGCTGCGGGCCTCCGTGATTTGTTTCGTATCGGAGAAACGGTTTGGCGAGAGTTGGAGAGTCACATCCGGGTACATATCGCGCTGCAGAGAGACGTGTAAACAGAGAGTGTGTTAGCTGGTACGTGATAATAGGAGCAGAAATAGAACTAGTTTCTACTCGTAGAACAGCATTTAACTTGGTAGACAGTCTGCTTAAATCTTGAGCAGAATGGAGAACGTTGACCTAACATTTTCTTCGACTAAATTCCCTTGCCACTCCATCGTTTGTCCAATCTTTGCAAAAACGAAGTGATGTTTTACACTGTCGACGATTAAAACACTGAATTTACTTAAATTTCGAGGAGAATGGAGAAAATTAACGTGACATTTTGTCCAACTAAATTTCATCAGCGTTGAATCGCTGGTTGAATCTTTAAAGCAAAAGAAAATTACCACTGTCGAATCCCCGTTCGAGCGTTAACAGACGTGAATTCGCAGAAGCGACGAAAGTGAATAGAATTAAGAAAGAAAAGGGAAAAAACGTGGTTGAAATGAAAGGTATTGTAAACTCGGGACGATTAAAAGTGTTTGTGCAAAGTGAACGCGAATAAACGTCGAACGAGATCGACCACGGCGACACAATGATCGACTGGGTGTCTATCGTGCGTCATTCACGGCGCCGTTTCAGCGACTACGTGTACGGTGCACCCGTTAAGGTACGCGAACGAAGAACAAAGAGAAGCTGTCAATCTGGGGAGCACGTGAATCGTAACGTTGTTACACGCGGTTCCAAACGATCCAGTGAATTTTGCGGATGTTGTTGGAATCACGTAAGTCGCCCTTAGATTATCGACTCGTTGGAAGGAAATTTGAAGAATAAGACGCAGTTTCTACGGTTTTCTTTCTTTTTTTTTTTTAGGGGTATCTGTATCACCGTCTCGTTTCGACGTTTAACGGTCCAATATCTGCGGAAATTCCACTAGGAGCTTTTAGTTAAACTCGTTCGAAAAGCAGAAAGCTGCTGTGTATTTATACCAGCTCCCGTCCCTCTGTTCCCGTTCGTGAGCAAGCTTGGAGTTCATTTATCGTCACGGTCGCATTAAAGCGGTGAAAAATTGACCGGTTTGGAAATTCACTCGAAAACGACATCGATCT